ATGAATTTAAATTCTGAACTCAACTAGTCCAGTTTGTCAGTTCACATTGGAATTCTGATCTCATCCAGTTTGGTTTAGAATTCTAACTTCAACTAGTTTAGTTAGGTAGCATTCGTATCACAACTAGTCGACGTTATAATTGTAATCTCAATCAGTTGAAATTAGAATTCTATTCTCACCTAGGCGAATTTCGAATTCCTCTAGATTCCAATCTCAACTCCGTCATATACACTCTCATTACGTGTTTGATTGACGATACCAAAGTTTTTTTCTCATTTCAAACGAGACGAGAGACAGTGTCTGTTACATAAGGCACCTTATTAAACTAGCGAAAATGAGACCTATTTAGATAAGGGAACACAGAGCTGAATTGGCTGTGTACATCCTCTGAATTTACTGCCTGACTCGCTATTCATACGGATTTTTCCTTTAGAGATTACAGCATAGGTTACAAATAGATACGATACCATGTAAACGATGAAGTTACGATAGTCGTAGACGGCTGTATACGTTTTCTCATTCTTTTTCTTTTTTTTCAAAAATTTGACACTCATATTATTATATACAAAAAGGAATTTCCACTTTCCTGGAAATTATTTATGGAAATTCAGCGGTGATTTTCTAACTGGAAAATCAAGGAGAAATTTCTAGATTATTGAAAGTTATTTATGGAAATGCAAGTACGATTTTCTAGATTGTTGGAAATTCGATTTTCTATAAACTAGAAAATCCTCGGAGAATTCCCATAGGTACTCTTTGATAATCGCCGAGCATTTTCCATAAATAATTTCCAACCTTACGGTGTATCTCAAATTAAAAATGGTTTAAAATTTACTCACTATATTTTATTTTTATTAACTCCTTAAGTGTTTATCGATGGTATTTTTTCAGTGAAAACAACATGATAATAATGATACAGTATAACGTTTATGCAAGCCAGGAGGTGAATCTTTTATGCAAAATGAAGAATGAAGAAATAATATTTACTTAAAGTTCTACATACGCAAGAAAAAAATGCTTCTTATCTTTATGAGAAGGAAAAGAACATTTGCAACAAACAAAAAGAATTTGTTACGTTATGTTCCATATTTGTGTCTTGAAGACTCGATAATGGCTGCTGTTCCATTTACCGCTTGCTCCGTGGATCCGTTGTACGATAATCGTCCCATTCCACTAGTGATGCGTCCTCGAGATTCTGCCAGTCATGGAAATTTTGATTTTCTGAAATGTTACGTTCAACAGCATGCTGATCATATTAACAGTTTGGTTCGACAGTCCGGGGCTGTGCTGTTCCGTGGGTTTAACATTGACTGCGCCCAACAATTTGAAGATATTGCACTGTTATTGAAGCCAGTTTTGTCAACGAAATATCTTGGAACAAGTCCTCGTACTCCGACATCTACATTCACTTTTACCGCAAGCGAAATTGGTCCTAATAAACCACTCCCAGCTCACACTGAAATGGCATTTTTGCCAAAATCGAAACCAGAACGAATTTTTTTTTGCTGCTTGCAGCCAAGTTCTTACGGTGGTGAGACACCTCTTGTTCGTGTTGACCATATTCTCCGTGATTTGGATGTGGATGTTTGCCGGAAATTTGAGCAATATGGCGTCACGTATGTTCGTAATTACGCGAGTAAGGGCTCCAAACGCAGTTGGAATCCTATGCAACTGAAGCCATGGGAAGATATTTATAACACGACCAACGAGGATAAAATTCTTGAAATTTGCAGTGCGGATGGTGTCAATGCCGAATTCACCGGACGAAATTTGCGTTTGTCAAACACGCAGCCGGCAATTATCCGTCATCCAGATACAGGTGTGCCAGTGTGGTCTTCTCATGTAGGTGTCTTCAATATTTGGGGACCTTATGTTGAAATACAACAGGTTTTACGTCAACGGTATCATTTTTCGAATCTAATGATGTTCGTGCTTGTTTGGCTGTGCACAATAGCACTGCTCATTATAAATAAACCACGTGAACAAGCCATGAACGCGTTCTATGGTAATGGAGAGGAAATATCAAAAGACGATGTCCGGGCAGTTAGCAGTGCGACGTGGAAGAACAATGTTCTGTATAGATGGCAACGCGGAGATATTGTTGTTATTGATAATAATCTAGTAGCCCATGGACGTATGCCATTTAGCGGCAAGCGCATTATTCTGACTGCCTTTGGATAGAGTACAGTCTAGAAAATTTACCGAAGTAAGTTTTGCTGCAAGATTCCTTAGTTCTGTTATTCGACGTTAAAGTCACCATTAAAATCATTTATCGGTATAAAAGAGTTCACTTTAATAAATAACCTTCAAACGTGTTAGCAACGTGTATTTTATCGAAAATAAATAGGGAATGTCAGAAACTTTTCCTCTTATTATCCTTTGCACTAACGAACGAAAAAGTGCTTTTCACTGCAGTTTCTTAAAAGTACGGCTGCTGCTTATGTTTGACCTTGATAAAACCGTTATTTAACTGAATAGCTAAACTCCTTAGTTCCTAACGAAAGCTATGTAATACGAGTGCTATAAATGATCAATGACGTTTCATTCTTTAAATATAAAGATTGGTTTGTGATCAGTGCTCAAACGCCGAACATTAGGCAAACATCGTGCTGTCTGATGGATCTACTCATTAGGAACGGATCTATCAACAGTAAAAGTCAATTGAACTTTGTGAACTTACCACCTGCACAACAATGATTTCATCTTGGGCCATATTGTTAGACCTTTGTAAACAACTACATATTATGCAAATTTATCATGATCATGCTCAAGTTGAGCATCTAGCAGATATTAGGACATGGCATTGATTAAAAAATAAATACTATTGACTTGGTCAATCTCACTTTCCCCAATGCTATGTGATCAATTGTACATCATGTACATTGTTACGCCCGAATTCAAGGTAAAGGCGAAATTTTATTGTATAACAAAACCTAAAAAAGGAAACTATTAAAATTATCCTTTCATTTAATGTTTTACTGCATATTTTGGATTCCTATACAGATGTCGATTGAGCGCCGGTTACATTTTCTCCTCTAGTTGTAAAATCGAACGTCCGTATTCAAATCAGTTCCAGCTGCGTTGCTTGAACAATTTTCTGTATGTGGGTGATTGTGTGCTCTATCGCATAGCATCCCAGTATTGTTTCTCGTATTACTCGTTATGCCGTCGTGTTTCGGCATGAATTCCTACTTTTTTAATAAAAAATAAAATAAAATAATAACTTGAACAAACTGGATGAAAAGTGAGTAGGAGTTGAATGAAATCTTTAGAACTAATAACGATTTTTGAGCACGAACATGTCAGAGTCTGAAAGTATTTACTCAATAGTTTGTTATACTCTTCAATAGTGGATGATGGAATGGAATAGTTGTTATTTGTTGAGCAATTATTAAAGAAGTGTGGAGAACGAGAATGAATAGGGTGGAGGCCGTGGATATGATGAATAATCGAATGGATATAATTTCATTTTTAATTCCATTTAAGCAGTCAGGCTTTAAGAAGGGAGACAGCACCGTCTGTCAACTGGTTTCGATCACTCATGGAATAACACTAGTTCTTAAAGGTCAGTCGGTTAATGGGATATTTTTTGACATTAGTAAGGCGTCCGACCGGGTCTGGTAGGACGGTCTACTTCTTAAACTGGAATAAGCACGGGATCAGTGAGCCTCTTCTGCAATGGTTTTGATCATACATAATGGACAAAAAACAGTGCGTCAGAATAGACGGTCATTTATCTAAGTACGGCACCGTTAGAGCAGGAGTGCTCAATTTCGGAACCACTTTTCTTTCTGATCTATGTCAACGACATAGGAGAGATACAGCTTAATAGCTCTCTCTACCTATATGCGAATGATACTTCCATCTTCTACGAGATATCACCAACCGATACCTTGTCGTCTAGTAACGTACAAGCAGACCTAGACAATCAGACTGAATGTACGAATCAATGGCTAGTTAAATTCAACGTTGATAAAACAAATGAATTGATCTTTTCATCGAGCAGACGACCTTCTAGTTGTCCACAGGTAGTCTTAAACGGTGTACGCTTATACAGGTAAATCAGCACAAACATCTTGGAATTGTCTTAGATCAACGTCTCACTTAGGATGATCAAATTGAAAAGATGGCTCAAGAAGAATTAGAGATACATCCAGAAGGATGTGTCAGTCAAAGAACTAAAAAAAAATGAAATAACCATATCTCTCATTCTCTAGTCCTTTTTAGAATTTACTTTTATTCTGTTATTTCTTTTCCTTGTCTGT